CATATCTCCTTTTAATTAGTTGCTTTGATATCAAGCACAAAGCAAAGCCCTGACAGGTGGCTGTAGAGATCAAAATGATTTAATTTGGAGTTACTCCTGGATTTTATCTATCTAACTTGGGTAAGAATCAAACACTGTATCTTTTAATTTCAAGGGACCTTTTTTGCTCTTTGGTATGCTTTTTTTTTTTTTTTTTTTTCCCCAACAAGCTAAAAAGAACTTGTAAGTGATTTTAGCTTGAGGAACACAAAGTAAATAGGTATTATTTTAAGGCTAATGTAGTGAATTAGACAAATAGAGTTTATAAAGTAAAGTTTTTTGAAAGAAAACATGCTTCACTGGGTGACATTTGCTAAAAACACTTGCACTCATCACGTCTTGATGCCTTTGTAGCTTATTTATGACTCTGTTGATGCTGTTTGTTTTGGTAGTGAAGCTCCCACCTAAGTAGTAATATAAATCAGTAGGATGACAAAAGGCAACCACACAGCAACCTTTTAATGCTGCTGGGTAAGAGAGACACATGAATACAAACCACTGAACATCAATAGTAAAAAAGTATCCATGCCAAATCAGGCTCTGACCTCCTTCGCCATTAGAGTTTCATTGTGGCCAGGTGGCTGGTTCCCATCTCTGCGGAGCTGGGTCCTCCACCTGTTGCAAAAGAGGAGGGCAGCACCAAGAGAGCATCCAGCAGCACTTTCCTATGAGCCAGGCTCAAACTAACAGACTCAACTCCTGAAATTTCTGGGGATGCCAGGCTAGTGCCTCATCTCCTCCATGCTAGCAGAAACACACATGAAATGCATTTAGAAACTGGTCCACATTCTCCTGGACATCATGTGAAGCTGTGGCACTGATGCTTTCTGATCACTGAAGATCTAAGACTTGATTCTGAGCCAACATGCATATAAATCAAAAGTGACTCTTCCTGTGAAGTTAATATGCTGGTAAATCAGAGTGAGTACTTCTTTTTCTTTCTCTTCAAAGACAGATCTCCAAATTCTGAAAGATTAATGGTAGCTAGTTCGGGGGCAGTATGGAGACAAAACTCTGATTCAGTGAAAAAGAGTATGTTGAAACATTCAAATGTGGTTGTAGATCAGTGCAAATATGTGTGATGATGTTTTCATTCATCCAACACATCAGCTCTGGTCAAGATTACGGAAAAGATCTAGTTTTAGCTTCTGCTTTTCTTTTTAGCCCTAATGCTTTATGAAATAAAAAAAAAATCTAAGTGGTAAATAAATAAATAATGATGCAAACCATTCTGAAAAGTCCTGCCCTTTTCTTCTCAAAAAATCATTAGGTAAGGTAGTACTATCAAAATAAACAAGCCTTCTGAGGTATTTTCCTGCTAAAATGTGAACAAAATCCTCTGTTACTCCCTCAGTGGGCAACACACTGAGTCACTCCTCATAAAAGGTGTGTTTTCTCCTGCTTGGAGATACACAAAGCTAAGCAATATCTTACAGAGATTTTAATTTAATCTTTCATGTAGCCAGGGAGCTTTAAGCTCTAGTGCTTTTCATTTATGTTACCTCATAAATTAATCATGTAGGTATGATGGAGGGTAGCTCATCAGATTCAATGTGTCATTTTAGAAAGGGGTTAGGAAGCAAAAAGTATAAAGCCAAAACTAAGTAGTCTTAAAAGATCCATTAGGTGCAAAAATCATTACATATGTTATTTCTGGGCTGGACAATGGTTGAAATTAATGACAATTTAGTTACTGTAATTTTATTTTAAGCTAGTGAGCACTTGCACAAGAAGTAAGAGAGTGGTGCTGACTCTGGCATGCTCTTCTGTGGCCTGTCAGAGTGCTCTGCATCATTCCCCACGCACATGGTCCTGCGCCAAGGGTGGGTGGCACCCCTGGTAGAGAGCATGGAACAAGTTCTCCTTGACTGGTCTACACCTGGGCACAGCTCTGGCATTTGATGGAGCTGCACAGGGAGCCTGAAGCAATTTGGACATGAATATATGAGTTCTTGTTTGCCTTGAAGAGCAACTCTCTCTTTGTGCCTGAAGACACAATTGACAATCTGCTTCGGCTTGAATAGGAGGTTCCTTATCATGCAATATGGATCAACCAGAAAGCCTGAACACTTCATGTTATGGCCTAATCTTAAAAAATCTTAAAAAGAAACTAATAAACCTGCTTTTGAATTTAAACTGCTACTATAAAATTTTGCTGCCAAATTTATTACAATTATATGTGTTATAAAATGGGAAAAAAATCTGTGCCACTTTAAACTGGTTTGTATCCATGACAGGTATGTTCTTTCATGAAACTACAAAACATACAGATTCACATATATACAGCACAGTGTGTGTGTGTATGTGTGTTTCTACAGGTATAATACAATAAGAATTTAAAACCATAATAAAGCATATAATCTGTACAGGAGAAACTACACATCACCTATTCACTGTTTGTACATTTTATGTTCCCTCTTTTGCACATTTTTCCGTAACTGCTGCTGTTCCTTACATTCTTCTCAGCTGTATTGGTATTTCAATGCTTGCCTGCTGGCTCAGGCCCTATGAAGCTGCCCACGGAGGAAGGGGAAGTGTGAAAGCTCTGTCTGTGCCATGGTGAGGGGAGGCTGAGCTGCCCAACCCTGCTGAGGGGGAGGCAGCTGCACAGGTTCCTTGGGGAGCTTTACTGCCAAAAAAATATGTGCCTATAGATTTTAGCAACCTGTGTAGGTAAGATCTAAGAATCCCTTCCTTTACTACCTCACTGCTAAAGTGACTTAGATACCATATTTCTACCTTCTCCCACTACCACCTTTTCATTTATCTCGTTGCAAATTCCTGCTTGAGAGCTTTGATAGTGATGACAAAAGAAGAAGTGATGAAGCAAGTTGCTTGTTAGTGCCAGGTCAGAAGTGTCTTACTTCAACTATGCAGAAGCCCATGCAGTGCCTCCCTAGGAAGTCCAACTTTGCCTGGAGCCCAAGGTTTCCTGAAGATGGTAATGAAGATGGTAATGCCTCATACAGATCTGCAATGTCTCTGCATATATATAATATGCAAAAAGGAGGAATAATTAAGAGGGGATGCTAGAACTAAACACTTGAGGTTTCAGATGTACATGCATGTGACATCTCAGCCATAATGGAGCAGGCAGATGAACAGTAATTCTTTTTTTATAGTAATTCTTAATGCAGGACCATTGAAAGGTCTCAGTGTAGACAAGTGGACATGCTGAAGCAGACGCTACAGAAATGCATGGTAAAGTACAGCGCTCCCTCTGAAGGACTGTCTCATCCAGATGGACAGGGAATACTAGGAAATTAGAGGTCTGTACGACTTGCTTAAAAACACAAAACAAATCTGCAGCAAAGCCGTGTCTCCAAATGCCCAAGTCTACCCTGACACCAAGAAATTAACCCTATTCAATCTGCCAGTCAGACACACAAAATGCATGTTCTTCATTAAACCTGCTGCAAGCTTACTTGTAATGATGTCCCCCTACATCCCAAACAAGCTGCAGGGCTTCAACTCAGCCATCATTTAATTAAATGGAAGACATAAAGCTATCAACCATAACAATTAACTGCAGCAACAAAGAGTATAATGCTCTGGTTTTAATCCCAGGGATCTGGCAAATCACAACTGCTCACCTCAGGATTCATCAGTATTTAAAACATTATTTGAGAACAGGTGGAAAGAAATACACTTAAAAAACAAATAAATGAAAAGGTAGTTTGGGGCTAGCATTTGGTATTGTTTTTAGATTAAACCGTTGCTTTCTTTAACCTCCATACTGCTCTCATCTCTGAAGCAACCATGTATGCTGTGGAGTAAACAACAAATATAATCTGAAGACTGAAGTGCAAGACATCCTAAGAAAATACCTTTAAAACTTCTGGATACTGCTCTAGGACCTGCAGTGATCAGTGAAATTCCTTTATATGCAGCCTCCAAATTATTTAGAAGATGAAGAAACTGTAATAATGGCTAAGCAGCAAACTTTCGGCACTTAAAATCTTAATCCTAGTCATCTCAGATTGAGCATTTCCCAAGTACCCTGGCTTTTTAGACTTTTCCTGTAGTAAGTTTCCACCTCGCTGCTGCACAGCTGGAAGCTGAGAAATGTGTACTTCTTACTGTTTACTTTCTGAGCTACTTCACTAAAAGGCTGTGAGCCCCACTGTGTAACAGAAGGAGAAAACATTGTTCACATCCTTCCATGTATCAGGGAAGCTCTCTGACATAAGACATCTTGATGGCTGAGTCATCCCATCTGTCCCAGACACCTCTCAGGCCAAAACAAGATGAGATGAAATGAGATGAGATGAAGGAGCCTCACCAAGAGGCAGTCCTTCAAGCAGCCAGAATATCCTCAGCCCCTCATGGAGGACAGGCACTCAGGGTTCTCCATGAGTGCTTCAGGCTTTGTGGGCCTGGCTTGCTGCAAAGACTAGGTGTGTTGAAGACAAAGTGCTGCCTTTGGTTATGACTGTTCTTCCTCCCGGAAATAAACACAACAGCTCGAGTTTAACCGGGATCAGGGCTTGGCCTTTGATGTCAGGGGCATAATGCCAGGAAAATACTGCACTACTTTTTACTTGGCTATTCAAGGCACTGCACTAGTCCTGAGTTTGGAAAATAAAAGCTTACTTAGCTTACTCAGAGATTGCCATAAAAGTTAGCTGTGGGCAGAGGAAGATATTAATTAAAAAAACATGTTTGCAGAGGTTAGAACAGAAAACTCCAGAGAAGCAATTGCAGAAAATGTGGCCTTCCATTACATGACTTGTATGTATCGGAAATAAACCTGGATTTCTTACTGTTGGAGTGAAATTATGTTAAGAGTAATAACGTAACACTTAGCACAGGACACAAAATTAATTCAGAATATCCTTTAACAAACCTGGAGAGGAAAGCAAACACAAGTTTGATTTAACTGACTCATCCCAACATCTGCTAGAGGCCAAGCAGCATGCAAGAACCACAGGATAGAAAAGGAAAAAAAAAAGCTCCCATACCTGTATCTTTGTTTTGGAGACTGCTTTTCAGCTGACTTAAAAACATGTCCAAGATAATACAAAGGAAAGAATAAAAAGTTCCAGTTTGTTGCAAACCATGTTAGAGTGAAGGGTGCATCAAATTTCTTAAAGGTCAGTTTTGCTAGCTGGGTTGAACCCGACCAGGAGGAGCAGACGCCCAGAACCACAGCTACACCCCAGAAAATCTTCTTGAGCTGTGTCACGGAGCATTTCCAGCACCAGCGGTTCACCCTTCCACTGCCTTCCGCCCCCGCGGGCATCTGCGCTTCTGCTGGGGCTGGAGACTCCCGGGAGCGCTCATCCCCTGGGGAGAAGGAAACACAAGGCTTACTAAAGAAACCCAGCCTGCACTGTAGTTTTCAGATCCTAGGCCCTTTTGAAGTCACAGGGAGCTTTACCAGCAGAAATAAAACCCCACCAGATCTTGCCACAAAATGTCCTTTGTTTTTAGATCATTGCAAAGCCCCTGGTTCAACAGTCATGACTACAATGCAAATAATAATTATCACCTCCAGATTTGGCACCACTGTCAAATGGAAAGGGAAATTACATGTTGCTCTGATGTACGTAGAAGGGCATAACACCACTTAAAGTGATGCTGTTTGGACACATAAATGAAGGGAAAATATGGCATTGACTTAAATAAAACAGCAAAGGGGATTACAATAGCACTTGGTATGAGTATTGGCTTGGAAAATGCAGAATTGGGCACCTTATGGAATATGGTGTTTCTTAAAGAAGAGAGGGGACAATGTATTTAATCCTGCAGTTAAGCACGATCACTGTAACATAATTAGCACAATTAATAATGAACTTAGATCACCAAATATTTCAGCAATGCCTCGCAGAACAGCTCTTCTGAGGTTGTAGCCAGATGGCAAAATTAGACCAAAGCACAGGCCACCCTGAAGGGCATTTCAGACTAGGCAACTCTAACTATTTTTTCACTTGAGTCCTGCACCAAATAAGACTGTACTGGAACTTTGCTCCTGTATAACTGAGCCCAGCATGCTGCTGGAAATTTCTCTCCTAAAAAACTTGCCTCTACATCCTTAAACATTAATTGTAATAGTCCTGCTACTGTATCCAGCTTGTGAATGAATGAGCAAAGTGAGGTTAGGTGGTTCAGTTCCTGTGGAAATCAAAACGTGGTGGCAGACCTCAGGAACAGGCCACTCTCTTCAGAGCTTTTGCCCTGTCTGTCTTAAATTCACCCTGTTCAACATCTGCTAAAGCTGTCAGTCACCTGCAAGCAATACTAAAGCAGTGATTTCTGTTAAAGGCCAACTTCACTTTAAGTTGGTCCATTCATTTGAAGGATGCGATAGCAATTCATGTTACACCTTCAATATAGGAACATACAACTTCAAAAGGGTCCAGATGTCATTGCATGCATTGAAAGGTGGAAAGATAAATTGCATATAATACACAGGAAAGACAAAATACAGGCAGAGCAATGAGAGGCTGCATTATTGCCAAACATTTATATGTGCTCAAGGCAGACTAAGAGAGATCCACACACAAAACATCCTTCCTTATCCTGCTAAGAATCAGTATTTGGAATGGAAAATCTCTTAAAACCTCCTCTTTCACATTAACCTAAATTTGTATTTACATGAGCTAATGCATTATTAAGGGAAAAGTTTATTCCAATGGAGAAAACAATTTAATTATTTCTTTACAGATAAGAAATGAATGGTCTGAGCTAAGAGTACCATTAATTTGCCTAGTAAAGCTGTATTTTGTAATGGGAAAAACTCTGGACTCTGAAATCTTGAAAACTAAAGAGGATGTAGACCAGTAAAGGTATAAACATAAAGGGTTTTTGAGCAGCTTTAAGAGAGATGAGGACGTTGCTGATCTCTCCACTTATTTCAGTTTTCAATAGAAGACTATGTGGGCAGCTTCCCACATAACAGGAGATGCAGCAGCAGGCCAACGAGTTACCCAGAGTTAATATGGCTTTGTATTAAACAGATAATGAAAGGTTTTGAGCTACCTGCTAAATGTTAGAAGAAGCTAGAATTGAAAAAAGGCTGCCTGTGAGCCCTTAGCTCATTCAAAATAATTTTAACTTATCTTCTTTGCAATGTACTGTTCGTAACTAATGCTTCTTGCCTCACTCTCTGCACAGACCCCTCGGTGATCAGTTTACTAAACAATGATAGATTAATTTTTTTACCTTCACCACACCATGGGCAGAGAGATGCCAATGCTCTCTTTGCTGTCCACCACACAAGTTCCACAACGAATACTGACTTTTTCATTTCCTCTCAAGCTTTTATACTGGGCATTGTTTCTCTAACACCAAACACTTCACACATCCTAATGAAATCCAGCTCCTTCCCATGGACTGAGGGGAGAGCTGGGCATAGAAAAAAACAATCCAGGCAGCTGGGGTGCCAAACGAGAGTTTAGGAGTGCTTAGTGCCACTGACAATGCAGAGAAGAGCCTCCCTCCACTCACAGTTTGCATCTCTGAAACTACCTGGAGAGCTAGGCAAAAATCTTCCTCTTTTTAGAATATAACTAGCAGGGTACCTGCCATCTCCAGCTTCTCTGCAGTTTTTCCCCTGGGAAGCAGGAAACCAGGATTTAAACTCCTCCTACTGAAGATATTTAACACTAGAGAAGATGCCTTAAGCCACTAGGGTGTATGGTATCCCAAGACAAGTAAGTGCTCTGAATCACAACACTGAAGCTGTGCTATGTCTTCTAAAATAAGTATTGATCACTGAGACAGCAACATGTCTGGCCCTCTGGCCCAGGAGTTTTGGCAATCACTGAAACACAGGAAAATCACAACTATACCAATCTGATCCACCAGACACTCAACATAAAATAATGCAGTGCTTAGTGGAAATGCCACAAGAGACACTGGAGAGGATCTTCTCCACACCATGGGCTGAAGCCACCCACCCTGCTCCCCACTGCACTGTGCACATATGCATGAGTCAGCAGCGCATTTGGACAGCCTGCATGGTGTGTCACTGCCTTTCAGCTCTATTCCATGGCAAACACTCCCTGGAAAATAAAGCTAAACTTGTTTATGTTTTCTCTGCTCCATAGGTACATTTAATTTTGTGTTAAATATACCAACAGAACATCCACTTTCAGCAAAATACAATACTGCATGTATCACTTCTAAAGTGATGTTGCAGCTCAAGGCTCACATATCTATGGGTGCTCATTCTTTGGATGTGTTTACACGCTGGATGGAGTAAAAGCTTGTCCTAGGCAGGATGGGTTTCCAAATGGTGGGCCCCATATTTTGGGATAAAAATCACTGAACCAGTGATTAGCAGTTACAAGCTGAGACTCTGATGCCAGAGGGCTAGATGTCAAATGGGAACTACCTTTTCCAGTGGATGTGGCACTGTCCTGGAGGATGCCTGGGACATAATCTCCCTCAAGCCAGATAGCAGATGCTATAGATGATATGCACCCATGTGGTCCCATCCTCCCATTTACTGTGTTAGGGACTTGCCTGCCAGCTGGCATAACACCCAGGGCTGTACCTTTCCCTGCCTGGTCCCTACATCCCCATGGGGACAGTTTTTGTCACCCAAGATGCAGATGCACAGATGGGGTAATATCAAAGCCTGCACATGGATGAGAGGCTCCACTCTCCCTTTCTAATACTGCTCAAGGCCAACTGGCAATGGAATGCACATAAATTTAAATATAGCAAAATGGCTTTTCAGAATGGATGAGGCAGGACACAAAAGAATTTTATTTCTGGACATTCTCCTCCAGACTTTTAATGGATTTCTTCCTTTACTCCTTCCAGCAGAGTGCTCTGTATGCTACTGTATCACCCAAAGGAATAAAATGGGATGCTGAGATTGAGGGAAAATACCTATCTTGCTTTTACTAAATTTGGATTTTCATTCTCCCTTTTGTTTATTAATTTTTCTGTTTCATAAATCCCAACTGGAACCACTCCTCTCCCCTCCCTTTAAGCCAACCTCTCTTCCATGGCATTCAGAGGCAATGGAAGGAAACCACCTCCACTGTTACTGCATCCCCAACCCCAGGCAACAGTCATCCTTCTGTTTCCTCCATTATGGGTGAAACCCCTCTCAATTGACTTCAGATACCCGTGGTAGGGACATCTAAACCTGAGCTGCTCACTCCATGGCCCCGGCTGAGGCCATGGAGAAAAACAGTGACTTGAAGGCACTACACACCCCATATAAGGTAGATGTTTTAGATCATATGTGTGGCAGTGCTCCCCTCCACCTTGCTTAAGCCATAACCTTCAGTGGAGGTCATGATGGCTGCATCCAGCTTCCCCTGAGTTTGGGGGATGGATGGCAACATGGTAGACAAAGGGCACCTGGAAGAGTAACCCAGATGTCTTGCTGGTATGCAAATATGACTGAAAGTCAATCATCCTATAAACAGTGGACAGCCCAGGGCCCATTGAACTGGCCTGAAATGACAGTAGGCTGCACACCAGGATCTCCTCTTGGGTAGGGGTGCCACTCAAGGTTACTGCTAGAGGTTGAGAAACTCCTTGCTGCAACGGCTTCTTGGTAAGTGATTAATAGCATGTTAACCTTTGAAATCTTAGCTAAGTGTTTTAAAGGATTGATTGCACATATACAATCCCTTAGACATAAACCATTGACCAAATCTGGGACTAGCACTGGATCCAGTCGCACCTATACTCCTCTCTGAGGAGTTTAGGAAGCAAAGAGGTCTATTCTGAAACTTGTGACTCACCAGGAGGGCCTCCCTGACAGTTTTGTCTAACACTGCCCTTTATTCAGTAAGTAATCAGGTGTACCGTGCCATCAAAACCTTTAAACCACTATTGCATTTACTATTTAATTTTGTTAACTCCCTGTTTCATACCAATAAATATATAATTGTTTTTCTTTTACAAGTAAAATGCATCTCTCACTCCATCCATGACAACATGTCCTTTCTTACTGACTACAGATGCTTGTACTGCTTTAGAGAAAAATCCACTCCAGCAGAGGTAACACCTGTCCAGACCACTTCAAAAGCACTTTAAGGCTTAGGACTCCTGTACACAGCTAGACAGTTGAAGGCTTACTTAGCACAGGACCATGATGCACCTCACTGTTTAAGTTAAAAATTTGATACTGATAAAAACAAGAGTGGCATTCATCTTCTCAGTTTAAAACATCTGCTGTGCAGATTCGTGTATCTGAGACAGTCATTTACACTTTCTGCATAGTTAGTAGACAGAAAAAAGGCATTTCCATAGCACGATTCATCTCCTTCTAAAGTAGACGATTAAAACAAGCCAGATGAATCACCCTCTCCCA